GATGAGGCACACGCCATTAGAAACCAGCCCTAGCAGGGCACAACGAAGAGGCGACACCAAAACCATGATTAATAAGAGGAACTAAAAGATCACAGGAGAAAAGAGGCATGAAAGGTGAGGAAAGAACGTGGACAAGGAGGAACCTAAAATCACCAGAGATAGTGCATTAGGGTGCACGCAGAGCATGTAAAACCTTCGGGTTGACAAAGTGGAAGTGCAAATTAGACAACGAAATCTAAATCAACACTATAGGAGATTACTCTCTAAAGTAAAAAGTGGGCGTCCATTTAAGAATACACATCTGATGAGTATTGATAAAATAAGATCTTCTCGCAAAAATCCTACTGTAATTTAAGTCATTAGAGATCTTAATCGCAACATGTTAAGAATCCAACAAACCTACATATTAAAATCTAGAAAATTTAAGGCTACCAAAAAATCGTCTTTGAAGGACCGATCAAGCAACGACTTTTAAAACCCACCCTTTTATGACTATGGTTCTAGTTGAAGTTGATATTACAAAAAAACATGTGAAGAAAATTTTGGTTGGTTCCAAAGCATATAGTTATTTACAAAAAAATGAAGTTTTTGAAAAAAGTGCCATATTTTTGTTCTCATTATAAGATTAATGGCCATACTTCATGTTATTGATTTAAATTACATTCAAATTAAAAAAAAAAAAAAACTTCAAACCCTTCTGTAAGGAAGGCTGCTCCAAATTTGAAAGAGATTGTGCCAAACGGAAGTGATAATGATCAAACCCCATTAGATCATGTCGAGTAACCTTCCCCTAATGAAACTCATGGGAATGATGTTAATTCCAAATCAAATCTTCTGGAATATAGAGTTCTTGATTCAACCAAGAAAACTTCTTCTAGTGTGGATCTTCCCAAGGAGGGTGTGAAAATTCTTACCATTTATGTTTCAATTAACTATATATTTCATAGTATTGATAATCCTCATTTACCCCACTATCAATCATTGATGATTGCTAATAAAGATGTGGAAAATTCTAAGGGAGTTTTGGAAGTGGGGGATATTTCTAATGAGGATTGTGAAGAAGGGGAATTTATTCCTAAATTTATACAGGATCCTTTGAGCGAGGATTATACAAATATCATTGGAAAAGTTGAATCAATGTCTTCTAATAATGTTGATAATGATTCTAAAACTATTGATGAAGATTGTTTTACTAAAGTAGTTAAAAAGAAACGAAAAAATGTGAAAGTTTCATTACCCTATATACCGTGTTCTACTTTAGCTCATACTTCTTCTAAATATTGCAATGGTTAAGGCTCTTTTATGAAATGTAAGGGGTAATGGGGGGGAGGGGGGGGAGGGGGGCTACTGACTCTAGGATTAGAGTTAGAAATTTGTGAAGAATCCATAATATTCAGTTGTTGGTTTTAATTGAGCATTTTATATCTATTGATAAGCTTAATTTCACTGCTCTCATTTGGATTTTCTTATGAAGTATGCTAATTGTTCTAATAAAACTTGGATTATGTGGACTAGTGTTATCAATATGAATATTATTTCTAGTTTTCCACAAGTTGTCAATTTTAAAATTTCCTTCTTTAATTTCAAGTGTAATGCATCTTTTGTTTTTTCCATATTTATAGGTTGGGTAGGGTTCTCCTTTGGGAGAAATTAACTAATTTTTCTGTGAACATTAATGGTTTGTGATGTGTGGGTGGAGATTTTAATATTATTTTTAATGCTTTTAAGAGATTGGGGGGTAATCCCCTTAATCTTAATGCCATGGATAAGTTCAACTCCATGATTAATTAATGCAATCTATATGACATTGGTTTTCTTGTGATGCTTTTACTAGGAGTGGGCCGCTTTGTGGCAAAGATTGGATAGAATCATATTCAATAATGACTGTATTGTTGATCTTGTTATGATTGATGTGGAATATTTAAGTAGAACTATTTTTTTTCTTGCTCCCTTACTTTTGATTTTTAATGCTAATAGAACTCCTGTTCCCTTTGCTTTTAGATTTTAAAATATGTGGTTATCTCATAATGATTTTATAAATGTAATTCAAATTAACTGGCATGCCCAAATTTTTTCTAATAACAATATTAATGGTAAGTCTAAAATTTGGTCCAAATTGAGTAGGTTGAAGCCGATCCTAAGATGGTGGAATAAAAATATCTTTAAAAATATTTTTGCTAATATTAAGGAAGTATAGAATAAGGTGGTTGAGTTGGATAAGGTGTATTTGTATAATCCTACTAGTGACAATCTTTATAGTCTTAATAATGCTAAAGTGAATCTCTTTCAATTGCAAAACCAAGAGATAATTTTTTGGAGGCAGAAATCTACTAAAAAAGTTATTTTGGAGGAGGATAGGAATACCAAATATTTTCATGCTATGGATAATAATAAAAGGACCAGGAATCACATTTACAAAATTGTTAACAATGATGGGAGGGTTTTTAATACTAAGGACTTTATCCTCAAATCGAGTGTTGAGCATTTTAAAAACATTTTTAACTATAATGTTAACACTATTCCTATTATTAATCCTTACGTGATCCCTCACATTATTATTGATTATGAGAATTAATTACTTACTCAATCTCCTTCTGAGGCTAAAGTTTGGAATCCTATTAATAATATGAATGGGGATTCCGCAGATCCTGATGGGTTCACTACTAAATTTTTTTTTAAACTTGGAATATAATTAAGTTGGATCTGTTTGACATGGTGAAAGACTTCTTTGTCGTTAATCCTTACCCTAAATGTTGTTTCTTCCACTAATATTATTTTAATGTCTAACAGGATGTAGTCAATAATTGGAATGATTTTAGACCGATTAGTCTTTGCCCTTTTTCTAATAAACTTATTTCTAAAATCATTTTATGTAGATTAGTTAATATCTTGCCTAAAATTATTTCATATAATCAAACGAGTTTTGCGAAAAGGTAGGAGCCTTTTTGATAATGTGTCCTTACCCAAGAGATCACTCATAATATTAATGCTAAAGTGAAAGGGATATTTTTTAAACTTGATATCACTAAAACTTATGATAATATAAATTAGAAATTTTTATATACTATTTTATCTTTAATTGGGTTTAGTCACTCCTTCATTCTACTTATTAAGGACAATATTGAGAATTGTTACTTTTCTCTTATTATTAATGGTAGGAATCACGAGTTTTCTAAATCTTCTCAAGGTTTAAGGCAAGGTGACCCTTTGTCTCCTGTTCTCTTTATTATCACTATGGAATATCTTTCCATGGGTCTTGAGGAATTGCATTAAAGGTATCTGAAACTTCTCTTTCGTACTATTGGTGGTTTATGTTGAGTCTAGTAAATAGGTTGTTAGACCTAAGTT